GTGTGTGTGTGTGTGTGTGTGTGTGTGTGTGTGTATTCTACTTATATAATGATCACACAATCCTTATCTAAATAAAAAAATCAATAAATATATCATCTCAAAATACCCAGGGGCCTCTTTTAAAATCTTATCTTATTTGATAACACAGAAATATTTGGCAATATTGTTGTTTCTTTTGTTTCAATAATACCACACTTTCCTGATCTTCTTCTTAGTCCTCCTTGTACCCTCTTCTAGACCCATGCCCTTCATGTTTCTGCTTTGAACTCCATCACTATATCTCATTTCTCACTGCTCTAGTGCTTTTGTGGTCTCATTCATGTCAATGTCTTACTTTAGGCTGAAAACTCCCACATCTACTTCTTTAGCTCAGAGCTCCTTCCTGGGTTCCAGCCTCCTATGCACAATGATTTACTAGGATTCCAAGCACTTCAAGATGAACAGGCTTAAAAGTGAATTCATCTTTCTACAACATTGGCCCCACTCCTATAGTCCTATATCAATGAATAGAACTATCATGTATCAAGCCCTGTCAGAAATGCAGGAGTCATTTTTAATTCTTTTCCTTTCTCTTACCTCCTACAATAAAAAGTTCAAGTCTAATAAATTCTATCAGCACCTGTTTCACAACCATCTCTTCTTTGTCTCTCCACCACCGCTGCCTTAATCAAGGCTTTTGGCATTTCTTTATTAGATTATTTAAACAGACTCTTGATTGGTCTTGTTGACTTCAGTCTTACCCCCTCTAATCCATTCTTTATCCCACAGCCATAATGGTTTTCACAAACATGAATGACATAATGTCACTGTCCCTTTGAATAGCCTCTGATGACTCCCACTGCCTAAGAATAAAGTTCTAATTATATTAACTGTCCCCAAGTACAGTCCCATTACTCAGCATTTGCCAATTGTGCATCTTAAGTCTTCATGAACTCCAGACCCAGTGAACTGCTAGCTGTTCTCCAAACGTTCCATATTCTCCAATTTCTCGAATACTTTTCTTGTGTCATTCCTTCTAAGCCTTTCCTTGTGTCATTCCTTCCATAGGCCAGTTTTATCCTTATTTTCTTTACTTGACTTATTTTGGTTATATTTTGAGACTCAACTCAGGAGTCACTTTTTGACCTGTTCAGTGCCACCCTTGATCTTACAGGACACCAGGCTTCCCCCGATTGTGCCATACAACTTACTCTATTTTAATTGTTCAGCTCATTCTCTTTCACACTAGAATATTGAGATCCTTGAGGATGGAACAGTAAATTTTATGTTTTAAAATAAACACATACGTAAATGATTGGCATTAAAGGAGCAGCCCCTTCCAAACTGAATGAATTATATGAGGGAGATGCCAAACAAGGTCTCCTGAACAAACCTATCCACAAAATAGTAGAGTATCAGTCTCCAAAAGTCACTACAATAAATAGAGCTGCATCTCAAGGTATTTGTTCAACCCCAAAACTGATAGCTTAAAGAGCTCAACAGTCAGGAACAGCTCCAGGAGAAAAAACAGGATTGAGTCAGAGCCATCCCTACTGATAAGCATAAGGTCTCTTGCAGGCATTTTGCTGCAGGAATGCCATGATATAATTCAGGAAACAGCAAAACAAAGTGGGAAAACCAGCTTCTAGTTATATCTGTACCTCCCAGCCACCAAATTATTCTCTTGACAAATCACCTGCTTCATCTAAAATTATAGGGCAGCAACTTTATGCGCTTAAAAGAATCCATGGGTCTTCTGTATTTGCTTAGCACCAAAATAATTATACCATTTCAGTGAAAATGCTTTTCAGCAGATTACTTTCAACACTTTTAATATAAACCAGAGTCTATACTAACTATGTGTGATTAGCAGGGGCATGTTTGAGAGGTTCCTTAAGGACTGCTAAGTGACGTTTGTTAACCTGTTAACCAAGTTCAAACACCATCTGTCATTCATATACTGGTTTTACTGACCTCTCAGCAGGAGAGCATAGGCTCTGCGATGGTTCTTCAATAATTGAGGCAGATGACCTGTCATTAGTGGGTGGAATGTTGGTCTACACTCCTCCCTCTCCTCTGGCCAAAGATAGGTAGAATGAAACATCCCTTTGACTAGTTGGGAAACAGAGGGAAACAAATAGACTCAAATGCCATCTAGGACAGAATTATGTTTCAGTGCAATTTAGTTAACATGGAAAACACTGCATCTCACAGACATCTTTCTTCACTCACCTCTCAAAGCCTCCTGCTCTTTCTTACCCATGTAATCATGGCTCATTCAAATATTGGTCATCTACAGGTATGGGTTAAGGCTGAATCTGTCTCTCCAGGCTAAGGAAGGGAATCGTAAATATCCTATGTAAAATATGTGGGATCATTTCCTTTTTCCATTTATTAGTTCAGGTTTGGAGATGCAGCCAAACAAGATCTGATAGCAACTCAGCTGGAGACTTCTGGGCAAGGTTCTCCTGGAATATATGGACATGTCCTTCTCCCCTGTGCTCTGCTGCAACGAGGCATGACACTGTTGCATCTATCTGTGACTATGAGGGAAGATAATGACAACAACTGAGGATAACAGAGTAGAGGATGGAAAGCACTTAGGTCTCTTATGACAATCACACATTAAATTAGCCAAGACTGAAACCACTCTATCTTTAGAAACAGCAGATATGATTTCATATTATCTGCAGCCCAAAACTCCCTAATTATCATAATACTACCAAATAGCATTCTTTGTGTTCAGATTGGTAGACTTGTGGTACTTATGAAGAGACTGGCAAGCTACAGTCTACAGTGCAAATCTGCCCAGCACATACTTTTGTAAATAAAGTCTGTATTGGAACACAGCTACTCTTTCTCATGTCATCTATATGCGAGTTGCCTTTTCACCACAATAGCCAAGTTGAGTAACTGAGACAGAGACTGTATAGCCCACACATATGAAGTATTTATCATCCACCTCCACAGAAAAATGTTGCTGGTCCCTATTCTATATCAATGGATTTCAGGCAAGGGATGTATTACTTACAAAATATTTTCCAGGGGCCATTTTGGATGTCCCAATCATTGTGAAGTGATTAAAAGGCCAGTGCTGTTTAATATAGCGCAATGTTAAAATCCCACATAACAATGATATTCTCTCTCAAAATACCAACAGCGATCCTACTGAGAAATACTACTCATAGTCAGTATAAGAACCTATAACATAACCTGGGCGTTGGGCCACGTGAATTGTTTTTCTCATTATACCTACCACCATGGCAACTGAAGGTCTGGTAGATTTACTAGAATAGGTAAATGGCAATCGAGAAGCATTGCACTAAAAACAGGATGGCTCCTTATTAGCTATTTGTTAATAAAGGGAAGAAACAAATTTAAGAAATATATTTACTGTTACTTTAGAGGATATTTTCTTTCATTAAAATTTTCTGGTTTGGGGTTTATTTAGACAAACTGAATATTCCAAGTTCTGTTCCAAAATACAAGTCTTTTATGCACACAATTTTTACCAAGGAATATTTTATATTATACTCATGCATTTTAAGTGTTTTTTACTTTCAATTTTACAGATTGATCATAATTTCTTTGGAGTTCTTTTTATGTTAAGCAGTATTTATAAATAATGATAATTATTCTAATTTCTGCTTCAATAAAAATACCTTAAAATATTTTATTGGAATGAACTAAATTATCATCACTATGGGATCTGGATTTGAAAGAAAGACAAAACATATGCATCTAAAACCACTGAACTGTTTCACAATCAAAAAATATATACCTTAAATATTTAGTCTGCTAAAATATATGGAAATTACAGGGATTTTAAAGTATGTGAATTGTCTTCATATAATAATTTAAGGAATATAAAACAAATCTATTCTCAGTGGAATAAACCGTAAGTCCAAAAAGTCATAAATCACGTAGAACTGTTACTTTCATAGAGAGATTACAATACTAATAACCATGAAATCCAGGGCGAGTCATGCTTCAGTAACATGGTGGGGGGCAGGAGCAAGTGGTTTGGTCCTTTAGAAAATAACTTAATGTCACTTCAGATTTTCAGATTGTAACTATTTACTTTTTTCTGCTTTAAAGAGTATACATCGTGATAAGAGGAAGACATTTGGGTGCTCTAAAGTTTGTGTTGCAAATATTATTCCAGTTTATTAAATCTGTTTTTGTATACTGAGAGTTAGAATTTCTTGTAACTGTATAGAACAAAACCACCTAAAATTCTCCTAAACATTAAAGAAAGACATGCCCCCAACTCCTCTGTCTAAAATGTGTATACCACATATATATATGACAATGAGTATGTAACAACCCCCTGGCTATTCAGCAAACAATACTGAGGTACTGCTATCTGGGAGACACGTAGTGGTTTATTGACACTGGGCAGTGTCAAAGTTCTTTTAGCACAGGCCCCAAGTATGAGCGATCCTATACATATAAAAATGAGTGTAAAATATTCCTCAGTTGGGTATACAGAGCACTGAGTATAGACAGCAAGTCTCTGGCAGAGGGGGCACATGTAGGACTACACACCCAAGTAGACAACTATTTGATTCAACAGACAGATAAAAGCAAAATCAGTGGTTACCATGTAAGGCATTCAACATTATGAGCGCAGTGCACAGAAGGAAGAAAAGCCTCCAGAATGACTGTGCTTAGAGAAAATGCTGAGCAAATATACTTGAGAAACTCTAGGA